CCTTTATAATATAAAAGCTTTCAATTTTTTTCTAGATTAAAATCCAAACTTTCATTTGAGAATATCACAACACTACTGTCTTTAATTAAAAAAAAAAAGATAATGGGACCTTTTTGCCAAGCAAGCACTAAACAAAAGCAAGAATGGTCTCTTAAAAAAAAGCCCAATAAACATGAAGCTAATAACTATGGTTTTCTAAAATTTTTATAGTATAGGGGAAAAGAACTAAGAATGTAATAACCTAAAATACATTACTAGCAAAATATAATTAAGGGAAGATCTCAGAATCAACTCAAAGATTTTTTAAGTATGTGTATACATACACACACACATATACATACACATATGCACATATACATATGTATATGTATATACATAAATATACGCACACGTATACATACATATGCATATATACATATACGTATACATAAATACACACACACATATATATACACACACACTCAGGATCCAGCAGTGAAGATTCTGATTTAGTTGACATAGGATGGAGGCTGAAACACAATTTTAAAAAGCTCTACAGGCAATTTTCACTTGCATTCCCAGTTGAGATTCAGTTATTTACATGATGAAAGGGTAAAAAGTAGGGCACCCAAACAAAATATAAAGCCAGAATTTTGCCAACTTACATTTCAAACAGAAGCAGAGTTAAAGGTAGGTTACTATTTAAGTAATGTCTAATATGACCTAATATAAAGCAAAGGGAATGTCCATTTAGGAGAATATGAATTCAGTAAGATTTAAACTAAAGACAATCTAGGGGAAGCAGGTTTGGAAAAAGATAAGTTGAGGGTCCTGCAAGTGCTTGCATTCTCCATCACTAACTTACTTCTCTTGTGACAGGGTCTACTTCTATCAGTCCATGGTCTGAGCCGATGAGCACTGTCTTCTGTTCAGTTCGGAGAGAGAAGCACTGAGGTTTCCCCAGAGCCTGAATATCCCTGTACTCCAGGATCTGAAATAACTTAAGATTTCTCATGATGAAACAATTCCTGAAAGAAAAGTACAAATATCCCTTGATGAAGAACTACTCTGAGAGAAAGGAATAGCTTACCAGTGATAAATGACACTCATAGAAGCAAAATGATTCAGGGGCAGGGATGTGGTAGTCAGAATAACCAAAAAAGAAAGAAAGAAAAAGAAAAAGACCTAATCTGAACCCACATAGGGCGTGTGGTAGCAACCTCACCAACTCAGAGTGCTTATCTATGGTCTACAAACTGAGGTTCTGAAATCTACTTTACATTCTTACTCTTTGGGAGAGACAAGATCCTGAACTTCAGAATTTTTTCTTCAAAAAGATTTAACATCAGTTATTCCTCGGAAAAGTTGAAAACATCAAAATAAATAGGAAAACATTTTATTTTTGCACATAAGAATATCTTTATAACCTGAAAGATTTATAGAAATCATATAAAAAATCCATACACACACACACAGTCAGTTGAAGAAAATCTAGAATAAAATAGCTTTAATATCACCAGATAAATTTATTTGTAAACTGGCTTTATGTTTATGTATTCATTTAAAAACTAAATACTGAAATTAAAGATAGAAATAAAGGTATTTACTAATCTCAGGGGAAAAAAAAGACACTATGAAATTATAGCAGTTTACTTCAAAGTGATGACCAACATCTGAGAAGTTTGATGACTTGATATAACTACTTCACGTAATTTGGCTTTCCTGTCCTGGTTTTTACCAGTGAAATAGAAAAGGTGAAAAAGGATGATAAATAGGAAACCTACTTTGGTCTGGCCAAATAAGACTTGCTTTAATGCATAACGTTAGCTAACAGAAATAAAAAATGAATGTTGCGCGCCTGGGTGGCTCAGTCGTTAAGCGTCTGCCTTCGGCTCAGGTTATGATTCCAGGGTCCTGGGATCGAGTCCCACATTGGGCTCCCTGCTCAGCAGGAAGCCTGCTTCTCCCTCTCTCACTGTCTCTCTCTCTGTTGAAAAATAAATAAAATCTTAAAAAAAAATGAACGTTAACGTGCTGGATATTTATACTCAGACCCCATTAAAGTTTATAAAGTTTATAATTAGAAATCCCTAACTTATGGTAGGGGTGGCAAATATATATAGAACACAATGGCCTTATTATCACCTTCATCCAAGGTGAATTCTCTCATCTTGCATTTCATACATATGACAATGTAAGAATAAAATGAGTAAACCCTTATCCTACCACTGCACGTAATGGTATGTGTAATATAAAAATACAACATGTAATGTGGGTTAAGAGGAAGGCAAGACCATACATGGTGGGAGTGAGGAAGAAAATCAAGGCCAACATGGTTTTGTAAGCTTTGGTGACATTCATATTCAAGAACTTCTGGAAACTATCTGAACCTATATTACACCATGCAGATTTTTAGAATCAGATCTAGAAAACGGGTTTTTTAAAAAATATAAAAATCACCTTTCATCTTTAAACATACAGATGACCAGTGACACAGATCTGAAAGGATGGGTAGATTCGAGATGAGAGACTGGCTAGAGGGGAGTAAGCAAGTAATAGAGGAGCAAGAAAAGAGAACAGGCAACTGGGGTGCAATGTATAGAGTCTCCTGTCTTTCATGCTAGTTTATCTAATAATAATCATGCTGTTACTGTTGCCATTATCAGATCATCAAAATGTCTTCATATTCCTCCCTGTAAACTTGGATTCCATTAACCAACAACCTGTGGAGCCCTGGGGTCCAAGGACCCCAGGATAAGAATTTGGAGGATAAAGACAAGGAGCTGAGGACTCTCTGGCTGCGCCAGTCATTGTCATCCCAGCAATGGGCCTCCACTCTTGAAGGGGCCCTTGGTCTCAGTCCCTAGCACTCCCAGGACCAACCTCATCAACCCCACCCCAACAGATATTAGCACTAACCAGGCAGTCTCTCTCCAGACACTGAAATCCAGAACAGCAGGACTCCTCCTCCGAATTCCAGAGTCCTCAACATCAGAAGTCTGAGTCCCAGCTCTAATAGTACCTCTCCTCCAAGATTAGGTCATGATAACTCCATCTTCCCGTTTCGAACCCAAGCCCTAAGCTAAGTGTTGTAGCTACTTCCATCAGTTTACCTTTTACATTACTTCACTGCTCCCTTTTGCTTTTATCCCTCTAATAGCTACTTAACCAATTCTTCATATTAAAATCTGTTGAAATTTTGTGTGGTTTCTACTTTCCTGATTGGACCCTGACTGACCAACACAGCAAACAACGGGTGTTCTCAAGTCACAGAGCTTCCAAAATCACTGACAAAGGTGAGATCATCATTCATCTCCCCCATCCCAACTGTTCCAAGCTCAAAAGGAACTTCTCGAACTTTTCACACCCATCATCCTTATTCCCTTTTCTCAAAAGTGTCCTCACTCCTTCTCAAGGCTAGGCAAGTAGTATCCTCCACACTCCCCCAGGACCTCAACTTACTAGTACCCTATTACATCTGCAATCCCCAACTCTCTCACCCTCGATTACACTTTTCCCAGCCCTTAATTGTGCTAAAGATCTCTTCATACCACAGATCAAGTCTGTATCCTCTCTGAAATTTCTGGCAATTCCTCCACCCTTGCTCCTCCATCCTTTCGCCTCTTGGCTAATTACCATGCCCATGACTACAAGTGTCAGAGAGCTCACTGATACACTGATTAGATCTACATGTCTAGCCCAAATCCTCCCCAAAGTGAACAATAAACCCACAGTTTCAACCTCCTGCTGTTATCACAAAAATGTCTCACAAGCACATCAAATACAACCTGGAAAACGAAGTATTGCTATTCTCCTATTCAAATGAGTTTCTATTTGAGGACATGGCATTTCTTCTACTCTCCCTGCCCCCCACCCCCAGCTGAAAACAGTCTTTCCCTTCTTTTTGCTCACATTTCATATTAAACTATTCATTTACTGGTTAGTTCCGTCGCTGTCAATATACAGTTTGAATCCTTTGCATAGTGTGAAATCCATCATACGACCCGGTTTGTGGCCCACATAAAACATCTGAGCACTTGGTAAGTGCAAGGATCTGAAGACAAGAGAGGACTCTGTCACTGCCTACATGGAGGTCACAGCTTAAAGGGAGAGAGAGCCATATAATAAACATTGGATGGAGAAGCACAGGAGGCATCTCCACGAAAAAGTCGTAGATGCGAGAAGCAGCGCCAAACACTCATCCAATCCACTAACAGCAGTCACACATTAACTGGTTCGGCGGTACTGTCCACTCCTGCAAGGAATTCAGAGGCTGGGTAAATGTGCAGCCGGGGGAGCAACACGTCGCCCCGGAAAGCAGCGCAGAGCCCCCGGATGGAGCAGGTGGCATGTCTGCAGAAAGAGAACTCAAGGCTCAAGGGCAGAGCTGGTCACGCCGCACTCCACTCCCGAGCCTCCTGCAGCAGGCAAAGGATGCACGCTCCAGGGTCCCCTTAGGACATCCCGAGGACACGCCCGATTCCGTGCCCTCCACGCCGAACGCTCACCTGCGACGAGCTCCGAAGACCCGCAAACAGCGGTGCGTCCACCCTCGCCTCACCGGCCACGCGCGGCGGGCCTTCCAGAGCCCACGCGAAGCTGCACACACACACCTCTCCGTCCGCGACTCTCCAGGTTTCGGGACGCGCACGGGGCCGCCCGGTAGCTCGACCACGGGGAGTCGTGGCTGAAGGTGGGCGGAGGGTCGACCCGTGAGACAGCGAAGAGCGAGCGAAGCAGGTGGGACACGCGCCCAGCGGCGCGGGAGTGACGTCACGAGGCGGCGGGGGCGTGGCCGGCCTTCTCCAAAGCCCCGGCTAGCTAGAGGTGGGGAGCGGCGCTGCCCCTGCGTCCCTGTCCCTCCACCCTCCCGCCCAAGCTATGGCATTCGATCCCCGCTTTGACGTCGCACTCCAAAACAGTGCTAAGAAACTCCGGTGGCGGAGTCGGCTGGGCCAGGGAGCAGCGCGCGTGCGCACGCCGCGGGCGGCGGACCGCGCGCCGGATGTACGCCCTCCTCCAGGGCCTGCTCGGAGGAAGTGCTCGGGTCTCATAGAGCGGGGTGGTGGCGCCCGTGGTCGCCATGGCCACAGAGCCCGCGGCCGCCGAACTGACAGTTCCGTCGCTCGTGGATCGTTACTTCACTCGCTGGTACAAAGCCGGTAAGTGGGGAATGATGTCGGCTTCTGTTCGGCCGCATTTGCCTGATGCTGTAGGGACGGTCGTGACAGGTCATGGGACACGCGCGTTTTCCCCGTCGCTTCCTCCCCATAGAAGGAACTGGATCTCTGTTCCTTTCTAGGCGGAAGGAATGGCAGTCGCAAAGCCGTGGAGGGCTGCAGTACATGCGGGCGCACTCAGGGGCTGGCGTCGCGGTGCAAGTTGAAGGGTGGGTCGCTTGCGGGAAGATAGTCTAAAGTGAAGCACCACCCTAGGGAAGGTGGATTGCAATCGCCCTGAATGCCTGCAAGGATTTGACTGGTTCAGTCCTACAGCAGTGGCGGTGCGTACAATAATTTAAATGATCAGGTCGAAACTATGGTGGAGGCAGGGACGGAGAGGAGAACTGGGTTAGAAAGGAGGCATTTAGAAAGCAAAATCTAACAGATTTACTAAAAGTTGCTGGTGTCATATACTTGTCACTTGAAGTAGATATCGTGTTGTCCTGCTTTGTGTACCCAGTAAAAATCAGTGGTGGGAGCATCGTTGAGGATCCTTCTCTAACCCCTACTTGCTCCTTTTCATTCAGGGATAATAGGTGTACTTATTTTTTAAAATATTATGGCATACAATTTTTTAGCCAAATCTAGGGTGACTGACCCGGTTTATCCAAAACTGAGGGATTTCCCAGAATCCGAGACTTTCAGAGCTAACATACAGTCCTGGGTAAACCAGAAGAGTTGGTCACTCTAAAATTGACCGATAAGACATATGCTACTATATTATATAAAGAATGCATTGCTGGGCGCCTGGGTGGCTCAGTTGGTTGGGCGACTGCCTTCGGCTCAGGTCATGATCCTGGAGTCCCGGGATCGAGTCCCACATCGGGCTCCCTGCTCAGCAGGGAGTCTGCTTCTCCCTCTGACCCTCTTCCCTCTCGTGCTCTCTATCTCTCATTCTCTCTCAAATAAATAAATAAAATCTTAAAAAAAAAAGAATGCATTGCTAATGGCACTTTTTCTAATAGAAATAATGAATGTACTCATTTTAAAGTGAGGATAAAGCAAGATGGAGCAGAGTTAATAATCATTTAATATTGAATGAATGATTCCATCTGGGCCAGATCTCTTTAAATACTTTACAGGAAGCCTTTATGTATATCTTTTTAAGTAATGAAGGGATACCAATGATTAGTGTGTATTCAGTCTTCATAATTATCTCTACAAACCAAAGAAAAATACCACACAGTGGCAGTAAATATTGACTCAACAACCAACAGACTCATTCATTCTTCTAGATGTCAAAGGCAAACCCTGTGAGGACCACTGTATACTACAGCACTCCAACCGGTAAGCAAATTGGGAATTTTAAATTATTAAAAAAGTTTCTGGTATCATAGCCTGGTATGGTCTTGGGTTAAACAAATATTCGTTAAATGATCATCTTCCACTGTGTAGAAATGGCATTTATTAGAGAAGTTTGGCTGACAAGAATGAGCCTTTCAGTGCATACTCCAAATAAATTTGATTACCCAAACATCCAAATGGAGGACCACACCCTCAGTCAGCCACTACGTGAAATAACCAGCCTGTGCCTAACCACAGTGAATTGCCGAGGCTCACAGAAAGGACTAGGGTAGGGCACAGGTAGTATCCTACACATACAGGGATGCCTTAGTTTTCTCTCTTCTGCCTCAGTTCTACCTAAAGACTTGTAGTACTCTTCCTTTTTCTGGGAAGGATATTCAGTTTCATTTTCTCCTCTTTTATTATTGCATTCCTTTCTACAGTTAAGCTCCAGCAGTAGCCAGAGGAAAATGCGAGGAAATGATAGTTTGACTAAACAAATGTCAGTTCATATATTCTTGTGCCAGTAGGAATACCGTGTGGTATGAGAAAGAATTATATTAACCAATAACACAGCATCAAATTTTTGCTACCTATAGAATATGTGTCATCACATTGGCAGAATCTCATCCAGTTCTTCAAAGTGGAAAAACAATTAAAAACATCTCCTATCAAATCAGTACCAACTGTAGCAGACTTCAGAACAAGGTCTCTGGGAAATTTAAGCGGGTATGTACCTGTCATTCTCTATCTAAATCTTCAATGTCTTAGTAATGATAGATCTAGTCAGTCTTAGAATCCAGTGATATATGCTCAGCATACTCCCCTGACAGTTTGATATGCCTGTTTTTTTGAAAAAATATTTATTTTTTTTAGAGAGAAAGCCCAAGCAGGAGGGGCAGAGAGAGAGAGAGAGAAAATCTCAGGCAGACTCCGTGCTGAGCGCAGAGCATGACGGGGCTTGATATCATGACCCTGAGCAGAAACCAAGAGTCTGACACTTAACTGATTGTGTCACCCAGGTGCCTGTGATGTGCTGATTTTAAGACTACTTTAACCCTAGGGGCACCTGGGTGGCTCAGTTGGTTAAGCGTCTGCCTTGGATTCAGGTCATGATCCTGGGGTCCTGGGATCGAGCCCCATGTTGGGTTCCCAGCTCAGCAGGGAACCTGCTTCTCCTTCTCCCCCCGCTTGCATTTTCTCTCTCTCTCTCAAATAAATAAATAAAATCTTTAACAACAACAACAAAAAAGAATACTTTAACCCCAAAGAAATTCTTAGACCAAAAAATAAGGTTATTTCAGGATGTATAGGATTTGTCATATTTTTAGTTCTGTACCATCATTCCTATCATTCCCAGGGTGGAAGATGGGGAAGGCAGGCCTTTGAAAGGACAACTTTCTTACCAATATAACAAGATATTTTGTCTCTTCTAGTTTTAGTAAGCCACTATCCTGAGTTCTATAAAATTTAAGTGACCAACTCTTCTTTACCATGTACTTTCAGATGTAAATTAAAAAAAATACATCCTCAGGTAGTGAAAAAAAAAAAATCAGTCTGAAAAAAATAGAGTGTTTGCTCCTTACCATTTTCCATTCTTTAATTGTTGCCAATTTAATACGTTATCTAGCCACACCCTGTCCCTCCAAACAGTGCTGGGTTGTATAGGATATTATCTCTACCCTCTAAACTTCAGGCAGGATGGACACATTTTATTAGAGTATCACACCAAGGAGAATTCAGTAACATACTGAAGTATCCCAACATACCCACTTGGATAAGAAGGTTTCAGTGGGGGCGCCTGGGTGGCTCAGTTGGTTAAGCAACTGCCTTCAGCTCAGGTCATGATCCTGGAGTCCCGGGATCAAGTCCCACATCGGGCTCCCTGCTCAGCAGGGAGTCTGCTCCTCCCTCTGACCCGCTTCCCTCTCGTGCTCTCTATCTCTCAAATAAATAAATAAAATCTTTAAAAAAAAAAAAGGTTTCAGTGGATGATTTAGGTCCTTCATTTTCTGACTTGATACTAAGAGTTTCTGCTAATTACCCTCACTGTTGTAGGAGACCTTTGTTTATACTCCCCTTTGTAGGTTTGAAATTTTTCCTTGCTCAGGAAACACATGGACTTAGAAAAGCATGAACCTTCCTTAAAAGGTAAAGTCAGTAGGGACACCTGGGTGCCTCAGTCGGTTGAGCATCCAACTCTTGATTTTGGCTTGGGTCATAATCTCAGGGTTGTGGGATCAAGCCCTGCAATGGGCTAGTGCTGAGCATGGAGCCTGCTTGAGATCATCTCTCTCTGCCCCTCTCCTCCAGTCCCCCTCACCCCCAGCTTCTTAAAAGAAAAAAAGATAAAAGTCTACAAATTACAAGTATAACAGTTAGTGTTTGTGAAGTTCCCATGATAAATCTTTGTCCAAAATAGTTAACACTATTGTTACTATTGAAGAACAGAGGAGAACCTGCATATGGAACCCACTACAGATAAGTTTTGATTCTCAGCACTGCCAATCATTTATTCTCCCAAGGGAGGTGATAAAAAAGGGTCAAAACACTTATGCGCTTTTAATGTAGACCCAGTGATAGACACACCCTTTGGGAAAAATCCACAGCCCCTCCTCCCAAAAGTGAGGAGTCACACTGAGAACTATTTTGAAATGAAGTACCCATATGCAGACGATTGAAGCCAATGTGGTAGCATCTGTATGCTGTCTAATGTTTTGAGTGGGGGGGGGCACCTGGGTGGTCAGGTGGCATCTGACTCTTGGTTTCAGCTCAGGCCATAATTTCAGGGTCCTGGGATGGGGCCCCATGTCTGCAGAGCTTAGAGTCTGCTTGTCCCTCTCCCTCCTCCCACTCTGCTAGTCTCCCCACCCTCACCCCACTCACAAGTTGTCTCTCTCTCTCAAATGGATGAATCTTTTTAAAAAAGAGAGGAAAAAAAAATAAAAAGAAAACAATGTTTTGAGTGGTAAAGAGTCATAGAGAATAGCATCTTGACCTCAAATACCCATGTTAACTATAGGAAAAATTTCTGGGAAAAAAGTGAGCAACATAGACATGCGTGCATCAGTTTCCCATGAGCTTCCTTGTAGATATTTGTCAGAACCTCACCAGATACACTGATGTGGAGTACATGAAACAATCATGTCGTAGCATTCAAACAGATAAATGTTAAAATGTAGTATTTGTTTCTGGGTTATAAAGATAATGGGTAAACTATTCTTGTTTGCTATTTAAAACTTTTCTGTATTTTCCCAATTTTCCTCAAAGTGCATTCTTTTTAATAAAAAAAAATCACTGCTTCAAAAAGTGTTAGTGATTGACCCTAATAAAGAAGTTCCTTTATCTAGTAAGTTCTAATATAAAAATAAGTTAGGAATCTTAATGAAAGTAACTTTGTATAATATTGCTGTCATACTCTGTCATGTTGAATTTTGTATTATTGCTTATTGATGGATTTTCCTACACTTTTGAAATCTTTATGTCTTGCCATATGTAGCTTTCTCATTAAAGTTGACAAAATGTATTCTTAATCGTTAATTAAATTACCCGTTATTTATCTTAGTCTTCTCTTTCCCCTAGAGCCTCTGATGGTACCTGACCCATATAGTAGGTGCTTACATAAATGTTTGAATAAATGGTTTTTCAGTACTTAAGTCATTTTTATTTAAAACGCTAGTTCCAGGAATATATTCTCTTATCACACTGAGGACTGCCTCTCAAAAGAAAGTGAACATATACATCACTTAATTACTTCTTCCCTTTTATTATCAGGGGGCACAGTTTCTAACAGAGCTTGCACCTCTGTGTAAGATTTACTGCTCAGATGGAGAAGAATATACTGTATCTAGGTGAGATACTTTTTAACCACAATTTAGGAGAAACAAAGGAGGTAGTATTTTTCTTCAAAACAACTTTTTTTTTTTGAACAGCTGTGTTAGAGGACGGTTGATGGAAGTGAATGAAAACATTCTCCATAAGCCATCTATTCTTCAAGAGAAGGTAAAGGAGGCAGAAAAAAGTATGATCCAATCCACGTACTTTTTATCTGATTTTACACGTTTGACAGTACTAAATATTCTATTTCCTTCCCAGCCATCCACTGAAGGCTACATTGCAGTTGTGTTGCCCAAATTTGAAGAAAGTAAAAGCATAACAGAAGGCTTACTGACACAGAAACAGTATGAGGAAATAGTGATGAAGCGCATGACCGCCGCAACAGCTACATCATGAGGACTGAGATGGGTAATGAGTACCACGGCGTGCTTACCCTCCCCACCCTACGCCTTCTGTGCACTAAAGAAGAACCAGCACGTGTGACGCATGCTTCACACCTAGCCATCCGCAGAGAGGCCTGATCTTCAAACTTAACCCAGTTCCCCCTCTTCATCTTGCATAACAAGCTTTGGTTCCCATTTTGTCCTCAGCCTCCCAGATCTGCCCTGCCCATGTACCCACTCTGTTCTTTTACCTAACAACTGGCAAACAAAGGATGTTTTTCTGATTAAAAACAAGGAAAATTTGGACAAGGAAAATTTGACAAGCACTTTGAGGAAAATTTGGACAAGACAGATAAGTTTTAAGTAGCAAAGTAAAAATAATTTACCCATCATCCTGTAACCCACTGGTAAATACTACATTTTGACATGCTTCGGTTTGAATGTTATGGCATGGTTATTGTTTTTGCCTCAATTTTCCCTCAGTTTGAAGTTAAAAAAAAAAAAAAATCAGGCCTTTTTTACCCAATCTGCTTTCGAGTGACACTACCAAAAAGGCTGGTGCCACCTCTTCAGCCCCAACTCTTCTCCCTTTAGGTCATAGGGGAGAGGCAGGGTATACTTGGCCACTCCTTATGTGGCTCAGATGGCCTTCCTCTCTGAAACAAAGTCCAGTGTAACACTGTGGCTTCTTAAATGAGGGATATAGGAAAAGGCTTTGAAAACTACAAAGGGCTTTCCCAACATAGAAGTATTCTAATGCAGCATAAAGCTGCTTATTGCAATACGTAGTTTTGTCGCTCCGTCTCACACTCTAGCTATGTGGGGTAGCGAGCCAAGAAGTTACTGAGAAGTTGCCGTAATCCAGAACACAGATGTCTTTGAATGGAACAAAAACTTTCTCATCATCTAAACTGAAAAGGGAACTGATTTATGATTTAAGATTGTCTACTCATTTACACTGAATTTCAAATAAAGGGACTTTTTAAATTGTCATTTTTTTTATGTAAAACTATTTTGTAAATAAAATCTAAAAGTTATTTTTGATTCACAAGAAAAACTTTTAACTTGAGTGCCGCATGACAGTCCCTTAAATATACTCACCAGACATGATACAGGTAATAACTCTACAAACACCTACAATGACGGTGCTATGAACTGGAAATGTAAGCATAAACCAGCAGATCCCCATTTTGTGTAGCATAATGATTCCTGAAGACATCAGAAAACAAAGATACTAAAGATAGTAAAAGAAATATATATTTTACATGTAACATTACTTCATTGTTCTCCCATTATTTCTAATGTAATTTTAAGGAATATTTTGGTTTCAAGGAATAAAAATCATGCTTGATAATCTTTATAAAAGAAATATAAAGGTCGTTAAGCCAAGTGTATCCCATTTTCTCCTGAAGGCTTATGGTAAGTTCAAGTTTCTTTCAATAAAATATTGACTAGCTAATTGGTAGTACTGTGGTTCTTCAGGATCTTATGAATATTGATTGTGATAGCTGACCCAGATACCAATCATCAGACAAGCTTATATAACTACTGCCATTTGGCAAGTGACATGTTCTATCAGATTTCAAAATGAATTTCACAGTATTGGGATACAAGCACTAGCAAGAGTTCAAAACAAGTTATACTATACTGTAAGGACTGAACATATAAACCAGATCCTTCAATCAAAGCCCCAACCCAGACAAAAACAAGAAAAACTTTAAGCCCTAAAATTAAAATGTTTTATAACGAACATTCCAAAGGCACATATACAAGATGCACAATTATTCAGAATTTATTTTAAACATCTTAGTTCCATTGTTCTCTGTCTCGTATCTTCCATTCCATCAGTCAATACGAAGGATGGTTCAAAGACTATTTTTTTACACCAGTAAGACAGGCTTAGGATTCCAGCTAATATTCAAGGCAGACAGACCAGCCAGCTATGGTAGAAGGGGAAGTGTAAGCCATCTCCTAGTGAGTTCCTGGAGGATTCTGTGGAGTGAGCTCCATGACCCTGCCTTTGGGAATGGGCGGAGGCGGGGGGTAGGGGGGAGACGTGCAGGACAGCAGAGAGCCTATGCTCTGAGATGCTTGTCAGAGAACAAACATGTGCTCCTAGCATGGGTGATCTGTGACACGACAGCGAAGAGGCCAGTCACAATTGTGGACAGAGGGACTGAAGAAAAGGCCACAGATTTAAGGAAACCCCTGTGTTCACCCAGACAACTATATATTTCCTGCTGAAAATTAGTGTTCTAGATGATAAGCTTAAAAACAGAAAAGGAAATTAAGGTATTTTATGCCAAAGGTGAGCACATATTCAAAATAGCTTCTTTGGATTAAACTGTCATTAAGACAGTTGGGATATTTGGTTTGACTTTCAACAACATTATTAGTGGCAATGTCCCATTGTAAATTCACACTGCAATTAGGAATGTAGCAACTACTGTGGCATTTATTAGCTGTTAAAAAGCATCACAATCAGTTTCATGATCAGAAAATAAAGCAAGATTTCATAACTTTTTTTTATAAAACTGTTGAATTTCTGAAAATATAAAGGATCATTTGCTTTCTAAAAATATCAGCTTTGCCGCATGCTGTTCGAGAGATCTGACCCCAAAAGCTTCTCAAGTTTTACCATCCACGGAGTCTTTATTTGTAACAGAGACCCATCTGTTATTTTCCATCTGAAGCTGGAAAGAGTTAAGACAATTAGTTTCTACTTTACTTTCAAAATAAAAATTGCAAAATTAAATAGTAACTATTTCTTTTGCATTTTTCTGGAAACTAGTTTTTAAAATGTGATTTTCAGACAGAAAACCTATCTTACCTTCTTTAGCAGTTTATAACAAAGTGAGAGAAGTTGGACCAAAATAGCCATCATGGATCTTGTCTTTGTAATACACTTATCAACCTATAATGACAGAAAGCAAGCAAATAAAATTCTACAAAAGGTACTTCAAAAGACTGTATTATTAATTACATTTTAACCTGATAAAATTTCTTCATTGTAGAAATTTAAAGGATCTCAAAAGGCATATGGATTAGGGCACATGAGCAGACTTGAGGCCTCAGAACACAAGTGCAGGGCCTGCTGCCCAGATCTCCTGCCCACTTCATGGAACCCCAGGAAGAATGGATGGAAAATCAACCTGTTCTATTTTGAGCTGTTTAGGCACTTCTTAAAACACTCCAAAGTGCGGCAGTGAACCCCCTACTTAGCAACTTCTGGCACTCTGCTTTGTGGACATAAGCTAAATTCCCTAAGACAAACAACGGGAGCCCCTACTCTGAGGGATTTGTGCCCTAGTTAGACATGTGATGACCTCAGGATTTAAGGGTAGCTGCTCAGTGTGGTGGAATTGATCATGTCCAAAAAGCTGATTTATGGAGCGCCTGGGTGGCTCAGTCATTAAGCGTCTGCCTTCAGCTCAGGTCATGATCCCGGGGTCCTGGGATCGAGCCCTGCATGGGCTCCACTCCACACGAAGCCTGCTTCTCCCTCTCCCACTACCCCTGCTTGTGTTCCTGCTCTCGCTGTCTCTCTCTCTGTCAAATAAATAAATAAAATCTTTAATAAAAAAAAAGAAAAGAAAAGAAAGCTGATTGATTTGGTGAACCTACTGCTCCCTGGGGTCAGTTAAAACTACAGATGATAAATGATTCTTGCAATCGAGGCATGAAAAATGGAAGTAAATTGCCCGTCTGTGGATGATAACACTCTGAAGAAAAATAGGCTAGAAGCACGCCTGGTAAGTGTAAAAGTTTCTCAAGTGTCTCCCGAGTAACGCGCTCTTCCTTTTACCTTTAGAAACACTTGATTTTGCAAAGGTGTCTTAGTTACTGTTTGGAGCTGGTGGCATAAAGGAATCAGCTTGTTTATTTCCAGGAGAAGCATAAGCTTGTCATCATCTTTCAGCTGAAATATAATTTAGGAAGTTATAACAACTCCAACAAACACCATCTTTTAAACCTTAGATACCCTTACACCTTAATAATATATCCCCCAAGTGGGTATTTGTGACATCACCATCAAGACCAAGCAGGCGGACTTGCATTACCTGTTTTAAGAAAACTTGTACACTTGAAGCAAGCTTTAAGCCCTCTTCAGCAAAAACCTAGTGGAAAAGAAAAGTGTCACTACTTAGATATATATCTTACAGATAGTTCATAAGAAATATACTCATGGCTAATTGTCATATTGAATTTTAAAAGTAAACCCAAAGATAAAAGGTCTGTCGTGGAACTCCTGAAGCTTTTCTCCCACCCAGGAAACACAAATGTTTAGCAGTATTCAGAAGGAGATTTCTCAGGCCTGATGCAGAATCAATCTCTGGAAAGACTCCTCTACACCTGGACACCTCCAATTACTCTGGAGGGTCATAAAGACATATGATACTTAACCATACAAATTATGTCTGGGCTTCTGGAAGGATCTGGAGCTCACCTTATAATACCCCAACTATAAAGGGTGATGAATTGTGGAACATGAGGTCAAAGGGTTAGGACTTTCCTGCTTCCACTAAAATTTGTCACCCATACACATTCCTTAACCAGCCATTTGAGAGGACCAATTTAGATTGGTTCTTGAGTATTCACCATGCATTTTACAATTTAGCGAAGAGAACAGGATGATGGCAAAGAACAGTGGAAAAATAAGGCTGGGCAGATAAGATAGGAATATTTAGGATGCTTATTTTAAAATAGTAACAGAATGTTTCAGAGTAAGAGACACCAGGGGAATAAAGGGTAGGAGTCTTAGCTTTAGATGGCAGCCGTAAAGAAGAAGAGAATGGCAAATATGAGGGTGGTTTGTGAAGAAAACTAAAGTGCTTGGTAATGAATTAGATAAAGAACATGAAGAAGGAGGCAATGCAGTGTTAACCGTAACACTCTATCCAACACCTTGCTATCATTGGAAGAACTGATCTCAAGGTCAAATAATCCTTTGCTCCCTTCCTTACCCTTTAAAAGGGAGACCGATGAGTTTTACACATAGATTCTAACCAACCAGAATGACTCATTTACCCATACATTCTTCATCATCCTACATTACCACTTTCTGTTTACATCTCGTCCCTTCTGGCCTGCAAACCCCATGGGGGCAAGATCCATGTCTATCTCCTGGACTATCATGGTTTTACAACCACCTAAAAGCTGATGACTCCCCAGTCTCTCTCTCCATTCTTGAACAATCCTGACACCAGTCTTTTACATACTACTTGAGCAAAACAAAATGCTTGATTTCCACCCTCTAAATCTGGTTTGCTCCCTCAGTGTTCCCTAGCTCAGTAAATGGCACTACGATTTACCCTGGTGATCAAGTCAAAAACCTTTTAAAACCTAAGTCCGATCCTGCCACTGCTACTCCAAACCCTCAATGGGTTTTCCTTCATACCTGAAAAAAAAGTCAAAGTTCTTCCCAGGGCTATGGAGATGTCATACCTTACCACTTTCCTTCTGGTTCACTCTGTTCCATCCACATTTGCCTCTTTATTTTTCTTCAGACCCCTCCAGCCTACCTCAACATCTCAGGGCCTTTGCACTTGCTCTGTTTGCCTAAAATATTCTACCCCCAGATTTCCATCCAGCTCACTCTCTCATTCATTAATATCTCTACTCAAATGTTACCCCCTTAGAGAGGTCTTTTCTTGCCACCCTTCTATCACCTTTCTGTCTTTATCTTTCATGATTTTATCTCTAAATGCTTATATATAGGCACTGCATACTTAACCTTCTCCTGCCTACCTCCTCCCACTAGAATGTAAGCTCCAGGTCAGCATTGGCTTTGTTCTGTTCTCTTTTCTCCACAGAGCTCTCCCCACCAGGATCTGACATACAGTAGAAGCTCAATAAATTCTTGATGAGCGCTTCATGTTCATCAGTAGATAATTCAGTAGACACCGGTTTAATGAATAAGCTCACACAGGAGGAAGGTGACCAGTGAATCTTTTGCAGTGAAATACCCCCTGTGGTGTGGTATGATTTCAAATGGATATGAGCCAAATGGAACAGAGTGAATCCAGAATTTATTCCAACTGTTTTAAGGGAAATCGCTCATTTACAGTCAACTTTATAAGAAAATACAAAAGAAGTATTTTCTAGAAATCTTCTGACTCTGATGATAATCATCCTCCCGAGCTAAAATCCCTTTCCTGAAGAGGCTCAGGTGGCAGCACATGGGAATGCCAAAGGAAACTATTAAAGGTTAGAAAGTGATAGAAATTACCCATTTCAAATGTAAGAATGCCCTTGGTTCTAGAAAAGCAAACTACCGTGAGAGTTAGGGCAAGTATTCTTGCAACCCACTTGCCAATCTGAGGCCTCTGAGGGAGAAGAATTCAAGATGGGCCTACGTGGAGTTCCATTAGACACACTGGGGCACAGGGGTGGGGGTGAGCATGTCTGTCCCTCCCTGAATGCCTTAAATCAGCAGGAATATGGAAGGAAAGAAGGAAA